ATCCCCTCCGCAGAGGATCAAAATTGTGATGGCATGTCTTCGGATCATCCTCCGGGATGTTTCCCAGACCGTCGCCAATAGCCCATTGTGCAGCTCTAGTGCGACGTAAATGAACAACAACAGCAAGAATTTTTAATTTGATACATTGAGATGCTGTGGAAAATTCACTTTAAAAATTCCTTATCTAGCCAAATAATTCACTTCGATGGATGGAAACGTTATAATTCCGAATTTAAATCTGCAAATTTTATGCTGTTGTTGTAGTTAATTTACGTCGCATTAGAGCTACACAATGGGCTATTAGCGACGTTCTGGGACACATCCCTGAGGATGATCCGAAGTCAAGCCATCACAATTTTGATCCTCTGCAGAGGGGAAGGCACCCCCTCTTCAGTAGCCCAACGACCTGCATGCGAAGTCGAGCACTTTAAGGTAGAACAGTTTAACGAAGACCAATACCGCACATCCTCGGTCCCTACTCAGACTGATCCAAGTGGTCACCCACCCGCACGCTGACCACAGCCAGTGATGCTTGATTTCGGTGATCTGCTGGAAACCGTCTCTTAACGATTAGTCCACTGCGGAACCAAATTTCTTGCATGTAGCAAGCACGGTACCTTAGAAACCATTATAACTGCACGTAATTACAGCACGACCACATTCACGGAAATTCGATTAGCCTATACGCAGAGTCAGACTAAGTCAGGGGCACACTAGATGGGGGCCCTAAATCGAATATAAAGTTTATTTTACATTACATTCCTTAATGAACTTTGCTTTAAACAAAATATCAGTACAGTGTCAGTTTTATGTTAGCTTCTTCATTAATCATGCGAGCACAATTTATGCTTCGTAAATCTATGGCTTTCTAAGGCGGAATTTAGCTAAATTTTTGCTATTACGATGGAAAAATTTGGCTAAAAAAATATTCAAAAGCCTGTATTTTTACATATTGGCGATCGAAATGGGCTGCAGGTGGCGTAGAGCAGAACTCTTTTCCTATGGCAACACTTCACATGCTTTCCCCATTAGCGTGTGGAAAGTCATAGAGGAAGGAAGTACGTTAGTTTCTCTCTTGATTTTCAAATAGATTAAAGTCTTTTAACTTGAAAAACTATATGGAACTGAAAACTACATTAAACATAGTTCTAAAGAAAAGTATCATGGAAATTTTAAAAAATATTTTTATTAAATAAAAAGGAAAAATATTAAGAAAGGGGAAAATATCGTAGTACATTCCTATACAACTGAAAAGAGGAGGAGAGGGAAAGGAGAAGGGCTAGAGGCATGAAACCGGTCTCTCCCCAGATGGCGTATTCGAGTGTTGCGATCGCGAATTGCAAAATGCGATATGTTTACAAAAGTACATGCTTCTGACTTAACTGAGGCATCGTAATTGCATAAATTTAGCCCTAATGTCAGTAAGGATATGAATTTTTCGCTGCTAGATGACAAAGTTAACAATCAGAAAACTGCATACGCACATAGAATGGACATAGAATTATCAGAAGATCAATAGAACGATATTTCGTCTGACCATTGAAGTGGGAGGGTCTTCATAGCTATTTTAGATTCTAGTCAATTTTCTCGTTATCTATAATAAGGTGAAAATTTTAAATACCTCAAAATTAAATACCCTTAAATTCCTTCTTATTAAATACCCTCATTACTGAAGTAGTGAAGCAGAGGGGGCTCCCCAAAAAAATTTTACCCCGGACCCCAATTAGGTCATGTTAGGCCATATTAGGTACTCTAGTTCCGGTTAAAAAGTTTACAGCTGCTTACTACATGTTATTCTGTTAGGCGATGTTTTCAAATGGATAATTTTGTTTCCAATAAAAGAAATAAATTAGATAATTTCTGAGCTCAAATCTGCTATATTTCATAAGATATTAATGTGAATGTGTAATTCTGGTGAGTTTGAAGTGAAAATTTGTTTTAGTTTTTTAGTTATATTGTTTAAAAAGGTGACATGGTTGCTAGATTTCGAATAACTCGCGTTTTTGGCAGTCTTGATATGGCCCCTTTCCATAAGTTTATTACTGTTTGTTCTTGTTGCAAGCTGTGCACCATCTGACGTTAGTGTTAACCCTTTTAGCATTGTAAACACAAGTAATAAGTAATCAAATACATTGTTTGCAAGAATCTCAAAACACAATGATGCCAAATGGCTTTGAAATACAACGGAAACAGTAACCTGGAAATTCAGGCGGTACCGAGCTTGCAGCGCTCCCTAGTGTAGAAAACACCAGCCATACCAGAGCAGTTTCTAAACATATCCTCGTCTACATACCCGTCTAGGCAGTGCCGGATTAT